CTCCTCAAAAATGAATTACTTTCGACAAACCAGCATGGTTTCATGCAAAATGAAAGCACGGAAACAGCTTTATATGGTTTCATAGAACACGTAGTAACAGCCTTGGATAATAAATTGCAAATTTGTGGTTTGTTCATCGATTTTTCTAGGTCCCAAGATTGGATGAGGTCATATCTAGAGAACAGGTTACAAACAGTAAGAATTCAAGGTGTTCACAGTCAGTCCTTGGCCTGCAAGCAAGGAGTTCCACAGGGGTCTATACTCGGACCACTGCTTTTTCTTATTTATGTGAACGACTTGATACAATACCTAAATAGTCTTTCAAAGGTACATATAGTTGCATATGCAGACGATACAAATGTTTTGGTCACTGATTGTAATACATTAGCACTTGCAGAATCAGCAGAATCCATGTATGAGAAAATAATGAAATGGGCTGAAAAAAATCATTCAGCACTAAATATCAGCAAAACAGCATTAGTCAAATTCACAATGCAGAACACCACCGAAACTCTCAAAATATATGAAGATAGCCAACTAGAGGTGACATCCAAACCAAAAAAAAAAATGCTAGGTCTAATTCTAGATCATAAGCTGAATTGGGGTCCTCATATAGATTCACTATGTGATAAACTACGAAAAAACTGTTATGCACTGAGATTTATGTCGAATCATTGTGGAAGAGAGGTGCTCCTAAGTCTGTACTATGCAACTATTGGCTGTCACTTGCGCTATGGAATCTTGAATTGGGGTATGAGCTCCCCGGCTGAAAGAGTATTTATATTATAAAAGCGCGCGGTCAGAATAATTGCTAGTTTAGGATGGCGACACTCATGTAGAAGCTCATTCAAAGAGCTGGAAATACATTTGCTGGTCTGTATATATGTGAGATGTGTCTCTACGTTCATAAGAATAAAGAAAAATTCAGCGCAAACCAGCATGACCACCCATACGCAACTAGAACTAGAGGGTTGTTGATAGCGAATCCTCAATTTTCACTTATTCACAAATATATTTTGATTTGTTTTTTGATGCCATTTTTTCAATTGGTTTATCGCTAGAAATATCCAATTTAATGCCCCCTTCGCTATTCCAAATTTAAAATTTCTGATCTCACAAACAAATAGATGGCGCTGTATCCAATAATCCGTGTACCATCCGGTATGATAGTTCCTTCAAGCTTGTAATAGATACCACATAGGTTCATTTGGTAGTAATGAATCCAATTTATGAATTATATTTTCATTTCTTACAACCAACCTGAAGTATAGAATCAATTTTGTCAAAATGATTGAAAGTTATTACTGGTAAGATAGCTATATTTACATCATACTAGCGATTTGGAACTGTTGAAACCCAGAAAATTTTTCAAATTGTGTATTTTTGTATGTATTTTTCAAAAGTTTTGTCCGTTTTCAAGAGTCTACTTTAAACTGTGAAATCTTAGTGAATACTTATTCAATTTATTCGAAATTGGCGCCATTTGAATCATTACACTTTTGCCAACGTAACATAAGTCGAATAATTCCATCACCATAAAAATTGTGTACTAAGGATTCGATAAAGTCAACGAAAGCCGTTTTTGTCTGGTCCTGATTGGCAAAGGATCTACCGGTGAAAAAGTTATGAGGTCTGGGGAGTATGGTGGGTGAGGCAGGCTTTCGACACTCAATCCTTTCAGTATTCAGATGGTGATTTGTGAAACGTGCGGACGGGTGTTGTCGTGGAGCACATCCGACCTTTCCTGTTGACCAGTGCCGGCTGCTGATGACGCAATTTTCGATACATTTCGTCGATTTCCTCACAATACGGCTATGCTGTAATGGTTTGACCCAGTTGCAGAAAGTTATAATGTATCACACCAGTTGCTGACCATCATACAGTGACCATCATAGTCTTTTTTTTGATAGATTTCCGCCTTCGGGAAGTGCCCAGGTGGCTCAACGGTGTCCAACCACTGTCCTGAATATCTCCTGTTCCGTAGAGAATCAACGACCTCAAAACGTGACAATTTCTGTCAGTCGTTTAAATCGTGTGGCACCCACTGTTCCACCCACTTTGACATTTCCAATACGTTTTAAACCTTCAAAAAGTGCATGAGAACTGTGCCCAGTTTTTCCACTATCTCACACACCGTTTGTGATGGGTCCTCAGGGTCCTGAAATCCTCGTCCTGGATTACAGTAACTCGACTACTTCGGACTCATCTTCGAAACCAAAATCTCCGGAACTCAATTTTGCAAACCAACGTCAAGCAGTGCGTTCATTAACACTATCATTGAGTGAGTGGTCTTTCAGGTCAGATGGTGAGAGTACGTTTCTGCCGAACTCTAAAAACCTCCTGATTCGATCCCAGCGGGGCAGGCACAAAGTATGTGCTCTGCTGTGTCATCATTTTCCAAACAGAAACGACACATGCTGTCCTCCTACAGTTCGAGTCTCTGCATATAATGATTCAAATGACAGTGACCTGTAAGAAGGCCTGTTAGACCAACAACTGTTTGGTATCAGGCTTCGAAGGGTAAATAAACGCCTTGTAGTGAGACAATCCTGGAAGATTCTGCCAGAAGTCCATACATTTCTTACCATCCAGGTGTTCAATCTTTGTTTAGCAAAGCCTAAAGCGATGTCAGAGGTAATTTCCAGAATGCTGTGACTTCCAGTGTCAACCAGCAGTCTGTTGCACTCTGCATTAAATTGATTTGTGCAATTTGCAATGTGCACAAGTCTATATGCAGTCAACCTAGCCTCTCTCTCCAGAAAAATGTGGAGAGGAGGTAGACCTAGGAGGATCCCCATGGGCCGCTGACGGTGTGGTACTGTTGGCACAAGCCTGCCTCTGGGCAGGCTTCACCTGGGCCGTTTTCTTTAAAGCCTTCGACCACCAGGTAATTGCACCATAAGTGATCCTCCTGGTAAAGGGGATTATCACAGTTTTGCTGGGGTTGACAGATATCTGCTCCCTCAAGCAGCAACTGAGAACAACGTCCATCGTGCTTCGGAGGATATTACAAGCTACCCTTCCCGACGTGGACCTTGCCAAGATGACAAGGTCATCTGCATAAGTTTGCAGATCTACTTATCTTCTGTCGAGGGCATCAAGCAGACTATCTGTCAGGAGCGACCACAGAAGGGGAGATAGTACCCCACCTTGAGGGCAGCCTCTGGTGACCCTGAACCTAATAGCTTCGCCTTGAAGAGTCGTAGTTGTAGTTCTGTTTACCAGCATGACATAGATCCAGCCAGTTATGGTCGATTCTATACCTTTCTTAGCCAGAGGCGATCCTATAGATTTAGGTAGTGCATTGTCAAATGCTCCTTCAATATCTAGAAATACAGCAACCGCAATCTCCTTGTGGTCAGGGGATTGGGAGATTTTTTCTACAAGGTTGTTTAATGCTAAATCTGTCGATTTGCCGGTTTAATAACAATACTGGTGGTTGTTCAGGGAGGATGCATATAATTCCACCCTCCTGATGTGTCCCTCCAGTATCCTCTCAAGTCCTTTCAACAGGAAGGATGTAAGGCTGATTGGTCGTACCGATTCAGGATGTGGGCCTTTCCGACTCACTTTAGCTACATATGCCACCCTTGCTGCCAACCAACTGGGTGGTATATAGGGTGTTCCTAAACATCGTGCACATACGAAAGGGGGTAATTCTTTGACTTATATCATAACTACAAGTTCATATAAACATAGGTCCGCAAACGCTTCGTTACCGATTTACAGGGTGATGAAATTACAAGATTTTTCTTGTTATTTCTTTGGAGCTCCTGCAGTTTTCGAGATATTGAGCTCAAATTTGGAATCTAGATTGCGTTATAGGTCATACATTAGTGGGTTTTGTCAGATGGTTGTTGATTCTACAAGGTGATATTTTTTCAGGAGTCATGTTCCATTTTCTCCCCCTGAACTTTTTTACTATGCGCCGCTGGTAGATTCTAAAATACAAAATGAATTTTCCGTTTTATTTGGAAAGCCGAATTAATAAACAAAATACTTGCCAAGAAAGTCTACACAAAAGCGATGCGAGACGTTTTTCCCATTGATAAGGTAGATAATCAAAATTATAGAGCTTTAACCTATTTTGGACAACCAACGGAAAAAGTGGCTCCATTTTTGAGGAATCGAGATACTAAAATTGCATATAGAACAAGTAATACGTTGGGAGAGCTAGTTGAAAATAATATGGATAAAACATCCAAATTCGAGAAAATCAGGAGTATATAAATTAAAGTGTGGAACGTGCCCGAAGGTATATATTGGTCAAACTGGCAGGACATTTAGGAATCGAATCCAGGAACATCATAAGAGCTATGTAAATAAGATAACAAATTCAACATATTCAAATCATCTTCTAGAAGAAAATCACATCTTTAATGAAGAGTTCGAAATTTTGCACATTGAAAATAAAGGTTTGAAACTGAATCATTTGGAAGCAATGGAAATTAATAAACTTAAAAATTCAAACATTCTAATGAATGACCGACTAGATTTGAATAGAGCAGGTACGAGATGTGGAGGTTCGGTAATTTCTTACAGGTAGTCTCAATTATGGTTACCTGTAGTATATAAATATGAATATAAGGATAATTTGATGTATTCATACACTTGAGAAAGCTACTGTACTAGCGAAACATGTGATTATATTTTTTCAAATAAAGTTTGTGGAGATCAAATCGTTTAGGTGTAGTTTGGGAAATGACTATGGAACTTCATCAAGTAACGGCCGAATCAATCAGGAAATTACCTTGGCTGGAATTGATTATCTAGTTCTGGGAATGTTTTTTTCAAACTGTCATAGTAATGGGGCAAATTTGTCTTCTGCAGTGTCATATAATTGTAATGATTCCAAATTGTATTTAAGTATAATTAAAAAATATGAGTACCCCTCGTTTGACAGAAAATAAAATATTCCAAAACCTTCACTATATTCCAAAACCTTCACTATATTTTTCCAAAGTAATAGAAGCAAATGTTTCAATCGAATGTATCCAATGAAATCACTGATACTCACCTGTTTCTATTCGAGTATCCTCAGATGCTTCTGGTGTTGACAGATACAAAAGAGGTCCAGCACCAGGCAGAAACCCACCTCTAGGGTCTTCAGCGTATATTCGTGCCTCGAAAGAATGACCTTTTGCAGTTATTTCTTCCTGGGTTAGAGGCAATTTTTCTCCAGATGCTATCTTAATTTGCCATTCCACCAGATCCGTTCCTAGAATATTATTAGATTATTAAATCCTAAAGAGTAAGCTTGTGAAAAGAAATGCCGATCTAACTGATATTTCATCAAGTCATTCAATATTGTTCATTTTCATGTAACAAAGAATTTTCCCTTCCATCTATAAACTAAGATATTATTAATGTCTTTGATTTCTTAGCCCTAATGAACTTCTGGAAGTTATCATATTCTAGTAAAAGAAAACCTTCGATCAGATAATATTTCTTCTCAACTATTCTAGATCCATCTTCACTAGTGTTAGCTTTTTCTCACCTAGATAGCACAAGAGACCCCGAAGCTTCGGAGAAGATTTTGTTGAATAAATTTTTTTTGTAATATAAAAACACATGTAAAATAAATTGATGGATGTAGCCGTTACTACGTGGTAGGAGATCATAATGAAAAGAGAAATGAAAATTTCTATGTTTCTATATGTAGACGATGTATTCTTGCCTGTTTCAGAGGTACTACACGATAGCTGAACCAATTTATGACATTCGTGAACAATCTCAATAGCAACATTCAGTTCACACTCGAAACAGAGATAGAGAAACAGATGAATTTCTTAGACCTGGCCATTACACACAATCAGAATAAATTCGAGTTGAATTTTTTCAGAAAACCTAGCTATACAGACATCACCATCCCAAGCGATTCTTTCCATCCAGACAGTCATAAATTAGCAGTCTACAACTCAATGTTGCACAGAGCATTCGCACTGCCTTTGTCTGCAGACAATCTAGCTAGGGAAATTGATACAATTACACAGATAGGTCATAATAATGGTTTAAACGCAGATACTATCCAGAAGTTAGTCAGGAAACAAAGCCGGAAATTCACTCACAGATTAATATATCCTCAGGTCAAACAAACAGAAACCAAGAAATGGGTAACTCTAACATATTTTGGAAAAAGAACAGAGATAATCTCAGGTTTCTTCAGAAAAAACAATGTGGTAGTAGCATTCAGACCACATGCCAGGTTATCTCATTTCCTTTTCAATGCCAAAGATAAGGTCGACAAGTTGGAAAAATCTGGAGTTTACAAGCTTAAGTGTCCGGAGTGTAATAGTCCTTCAGACTGGGAAAAAATTATTCGACGTTTTCAAATCATTCCTTGGCAACCACAAGTTTCCGAATCTGAACGATACGGAAATTCTGCTCTATGCAAAGAAGGGTTGCAAAGTCAATTATTTAGAGTCCTTGGAAATTTACAAGCATGAACATTGCGGGTGCAACCTGTTAAATGATCAAATCGATTTAATTTACTCTCCGGTTTGTAAATTGACACATCCGCATTGTGAACTGTAAATTCAGGTACTCAATCAAGTACCTGAATGGTATATATTGGTGAATGTAATGAATCATTGTTAGTTTATTGTATTAATAAATTGATGGATGTAGCCGTTACTACGTGTTAGGAGATCATGATGAAAAGAGAAATGAAAATTTATGTTTTTTTTGTGTTAAAAAACATAGAAATTTTCATTTCTCTTTTCATCTTTATTGTATTATTTTGAGAACGTCCATATAGGACGAAACTGCAGTAACGTTAGTTACAATTTCAAGTGGTTAAAAACATAGAAATTTTCATTTCTCTTTACATATGTAAAACTCGAACATTTGCGTTTTTCATTTTTTCAACTATATCCCAGTGATCAATAAAAAATTCACCTGTGATCATTTCCGTAATCGGGTGTTCCACTTGAAGCCTCGTATTCATTTCCATGAAATGAAAACTATGATCGTTTTTATCCAAAATGAATTCAAATTTATTTTCCACCTTATATTTGAGTCGAAATATAATCTCAAAAATTTTGTATTTTTAAATGGTTCAATTATGTTGCTGTTCAACGAAATAGACCTTAACTGTTTTGAAGTAAAAATTGTAAACATATCATCTTTCCAGCATTAAAAGTCAAACAGTTTTTTCTACACCATAAACTGAATTGTTTAGCTATTGTGTTCATTTTAGTTTGAAGCTCTACCGGGGAATTGTCACTGGCTACTGTATTTGTATCATCTGCATGCAGAACAATATGTTCAGATTTCAGATGAAGAGTTTTTTACGAATGGATTTAATCTTCAGCTATTCAAATACAATGTGAAGGCTGGGATTTAATCAAATAAGCGAATGAGTGTCATTACGTAGTGTCATCGATAACATAAGTAGCTTAAACTCACTTGTTATTTTTTACGTTGGACACTCGTCTCAAACTTATGTTATATGGCAGCAAAGTTTTTTCCAAAATTGCTGAATTTTGACCAAAAAACCGTTGCATGAGCATCGCACAGGAGCGCACTCAAGGGGCGAAGTACCCAAAAAATAGAGTCACTCTAGCTTGGGTACCCGGACATGAGTGTCACAAGGGTAATGAGGAGGCCGATGTTCTAGCCCGTGAATGCGCCCAAGGCAATGAGCGGGGTAGCGAAAGCATGTATGAAGATATCCATAAATTCATGGATGCAAACTGAATCGATAGATTGGTGGAATAAGCTCTCAGAAATGAGGCAGATGAAAGAGTTCATAAAGAAACCATCACCCAGATTTATGGAAGACCTGCTAAACCGCCAACCGTAAGGTTGGTTGTAAGGGTAGTGGCGGGTCTACTAACGGGACATAGCAGGAAGCATATGAGCAACATGGGTCTGACAGAAAAAACCCAATGCAGGTTCTGTCAAGAAGAGGAAGAAACCGCACTGCATGTGCTCTGTGAATGAGAAGCGGTAGCAAGACTGAGACACGCAAGATGCGGGGAAGAGAAACCACAGGCTGCCAGTTATATGAAGGAGTCAATGTCAAGGCTATGGAGTCTCAACAAAGAGATCAAGGTAGACATTGAGCTCTAACAACCAAGGAGCATCACGATATATCTGAAAACGTCGCAGTGAATCAGGCCAAGAGCTAGCTCTCCGACAATCTAATCTATTCTAATCGCCCAGGAATTGTTGAATGACACTAGCGATCCAGATTTTTGCTTGAAAGTGTCATAACTGGTGACAAATTATAGGTATATGATTATGGCATCAAATCCAAAGTCCAGCGTCCCAATGGAAGGGTCCAGTAAAGCCAAGACCAAAATATCACGCCATGTTTGATCAAATGTTGAAGTTTTTACTTACTGTTTTCTTCGATTACCGTGGTGTAGTGCATTAGGAGTTTTTAACACATAGTCGTACCGTCAATAATGAGTATTATTTTGAAGTTATGCGACGCTTACGAGAAGCAATACGAAGAAAATGTACAGTATTGTAAAAAAACAATTCATGGTTTTCGCACCACGATGATGCACCTGCTCACTCGTCATTGCTTGTTTGTAATTTTTTGGCCAAAAATAACACCGTAATCATGCCTCAGCCACCGTATTCTCCAGATTTGCCCCCCTGCGACTTTTTCCTGTGCCAATATTGAAGAGATCCATGAAAGGACGACGTTCTGCGAGGATTGAGGAGATAAAAGCCGAATCGGTGAGGCAGCTCAATAACGTACCAAAAAGTGCATTGATTGGAAAAACGCTGGCACAACTGTATTGTTTCTGAGCGGGACTACTTCAAAAGGGACGAAATAGAAATTGACGAATAAATAAATATGTTTTGAGAAAAAAAAATTCACCTTTCGTTTTGGAATATCACGCTAAGATGTAACAATTTTTTATAACAGGTTATATACCCACAATAAGCAGCAATTTGATATTACTCAGAGGTTCAGGATTCATTCTGAAAGTGGGTACCATTTATTTGTCAACAATAGCATCAAATCTCATTTGAATATGATGGGTTCAATTGAATGTTAATCATCTCGTAGTAAGAGAAAACCATAAGCCCAAAGATATTTCCATTTTTAGTCGAGAACATAAGGTGTCATGTGTTGACATGGCTAACAATTTTAATGCTCATTTCACGAAAGCGGAAGAACAAAGAGAATATGATCTCAATTTTATGGAAAATACAGTCGCACTCTGCCCAAACTCTATATTTCTCCACCCAATCAAGGAATATGAGGTCTTTGATTTAATAAATGAATTAAAGAATTATAATGCTAATGGATATGATCAGGTCTCAAACAATTTTCTGAAAAAATGCATGGAAGAAATAGTCTACCCCCTGACCTATCTGAAAAATCTTTCCATGGAACGGGGAATGTTCCCTGAGAAATTAAAAGTAGCAATCGTTACCCTAATCTTTAAAAAAGAAGACTCAAATAGCTATGAGAACTATAGAGGGGTAAGTCTTCTCTCTAGTATATCCAAGGTATACGAAATGAATATTAACTATCGTTTCTCCTCAAAAATGAATTACTTTCGACAAACCAGCATGGTTTTATGCAAAATAAAAGCACGGAAACAGCTTTATATGATTTCATAGAACACGTAGTAACAGCCTTGGATAACAAACTACAAAATTGTGGTTTGTTCATCGATTTTTCTAGAGCATTTGACTGTATGGATCACTATGTACTAATCCAGAAAATGCATCGCTATGGAGTTCGTGGAGTTGCCCAAGATTGGATGAGGTCATATCTAGAGAACAGGTCACAAACAGTAAGAATTCAAGGTGTTCACAGTCAGTCCTTGACCTGCAAGCAAGGAGTTCCACAGGGGTCTATACTCGGACCACTGCTTTTTCTTATTTATGCGAACGACTTGATACAATACCTAAATAGTCTTTCAAAGGTACATATAGTGGTTTTCTATCAAAAGCTCTAAAGTTTCTTTACTAGAGGTCGTGAATGTTCCATCGGGTCGTTTAAGCGACCCAATTTCAGCAGTAGGCTCTATAGAGAGAATCTTGTGAATGTATAGAGTACAAAATTCTCTATCGATCAGTATATACCACAACACGGTAGAATAAATATGTTTTGAGATATGGAGCTACAAAAACACATAACATCAGAACGGATAAAACTTTTGAAAACACCTAATACCTTTTCCTCCACCTCCACGCACAGCCTTTATCATAAGAGGAAAACCAATTTTCCTTGCCTCTTCTTTCAGTCTCTCGTTACTTTGATCTTCTCCGTGGTATCCTTTTATGACAGGTACTCCAGCTTTTGACATGATGGCCTTAGACGTGCTAAGAAATCGGAAAAATATTTTTTAGAAATGATTATTCAAGATTGAAGCGAAAACAGTTTTGATCGTATGACAAATTATTCAGCTCATGTTTCTGGAAATTCAACTATTCACTTCAACTACAGTTAGTTTCGGATTCAAAATCTAGCAGAAATATTCTTAAAATATTCACAAATTCAAGGTATGTTTAGAAGTATATGAATGCATTTGAACTATTTGAAAGAAATAAAAAATACATTGTATTGAATGATATTCATCGACAAAGAAAGCACTGAAACCACTTTTAGGCTTGTCCTTAGAAGACAATTGAGTGGTTCAGCCAAGCACTACTGATGAGACGTAGTCAGGTCGAAACAGCGCTGTCTGGTGTTAGATCTCGAGATCATCTGAAGCACATTATTTACTTCGTTTAATACTTTGTTTCAACCAATAATTGTGAATTTAAAAAGAAAGAGGCAAAAAATGGTCGAGATTAATATCATGAACATAAATTCTTGACCTACATGATAATTGACCTTCGAATTGACCTCCAGAATTGATGAATATACGCCCTAAAGGTAGTGGCAAATGGTAGAGTGTATTGACGTAATCAAAATAATTGATTAAAATAAAGATTGCAATTATGGAAACTAATTTTCTTCTTGTCGTTTCAATATGTTTTGGCTATGATATATTTTCATCTAGAATGATGAATAAACATTTATTCAAGTTTCTTATATGCTACTTCCATTCTAAATTGAAGTGTCGGCAAACCTTTCTAATACTCANCTCTGAGATAACTTTGAGATGCAGCCGCAGGACCAATGTTATATGCTTCGTCTGCCTGTAATGAAAAAAATATTCACAATTCGAATACGAACGGATACTTTCAGCGATTAGCGACGTTCAATGCGCAATTTTATGGGGATGTATTGATATCTAGTTAGCCTAGCCCCGTTTCGAGGATAAACAAAATCTTTTGTAATGTAGCTGTGCAATGAAAAATGACTTTTAGAAGTGTCAGTTTTATTAGGCTGTTTCGAAAATGTTTCTCGTTTTTACAAGTCTACTTTGAACTGTAATATCTCAGAAAATACTTTTGTTTGAAAGTGATTGACAATGTTTCATGATGAATTTCATTAGTTCGGAATTCCATTGTTCGATATTATATACCTAAAATGATTTGAAATCCCTGAAAGAACCAATAAAAAGAAGAATTAAAAATGAATAGCTGAAAATAGCAATTATGTTAGTCAAAAAAAGCTGAAACGAAATAATAGTGAAATAAAATAGAAGAAAATATAGAACAATTGAACAAAATAAAATTAAAAATTAAGAGATTCCAAGCCAAGTTACTTCACGACGTTTCGATTCTTAGTATTCACAATCGGCTTCGGGTGATGACTGGACTAATTCCTCCGATATATGACTATTTATGGGTCATTCGAACATTTTTACTTATCTCCGCTTTCGTTTTTCCGCTTCACCGTTTTAGTGCTTGGCTGAATACATTGTTGGACAACATGTATGCGGCTTCTTTAAATTTCCTCCTTAACCAATGTTCCTCCCTGTGTACGACCTCAACTTGGGAACACTCGATGTTATGTTGATGGGTCCAAAAATGCTCTATTATTCCTGATTTGCTGGTTCCCCTCGCTGTGTGTGTTTCTTGTGCTCGGTAATGCGAACATTCAATGGCCTCCGGTAAATGCAATTCTTCGAATTGCAGTCCGCTACATTTCGTTAATTTCTTCACAATTGGACTCTGCTGACTCGCTGACCACCATACAGTAACCATGATACAAAAAAGGATCGTCTTCCACGTACTTTTGTTCTAGTTTGGGAAGAGCGTTTTCAATAGGTTGAAGATATTGGTAGCGTTGAAGAATTGGTGAATTATAGGTCTCGAACTATCTTTCAGCACTTTTTCAGTTTGGAAACAAACGGAGTATTTGGCAGATTCTTTATAACTGCTAATATCTCGTTACATTCAACAAAAAAGTTGATTTAGATATTCGATTCTTATTTTGATGTATGATTTGAATCATGATTTCAATACACAGTTTTGCTCAACTTTTTTCATAGATATAGTTTTTTGATTTCATATTATTGACTTTTTGTCAGGTATGACCAGGGCCGGATTTGGAAGTCTCGAGACCCTGGAGCAACGAAGAAGTGGATGTCTCTAATTATTAATTATTTTTCGGATTCTTTTACCTATTTTATTCCTCTTCGACTCATGGATACAAATAACACATTGAAAAAAAGGATTTCCATCAAATCATAAACTGAAATTAAACGAAAACGTGCAATCAGTGCTTTTATGTTCAAAGCGTCCCTGGTACAGTCATAAACATTTCTGGCCTGTGGCCCCTAGTCGTCCAAATAGTTAGTAAACGTGCTATCAAATGTAGTTGAGGAATAAAGGCTCGGCTAGCTGGACTGACTGAATACTAATTATTTGGCTGTTTCACAATATTTCTTTATTAGTGCCGTGTGTTCGTGGGGTTAGGTGAGGTAGTGAGAGGTTTTGCAAACCGATTTTTTTTTAACTTTTTCTTGAGATCAAATACCCTAACACCAAACTGATATTTTTGCACTCGACGCGTGTTTCGCTAACAAGGTTAGCATCTTTAGGAGAAGCAAATTGAAACTGAATCTGAAGACAAGGGTTAGCTGTTTATATACCTAAAGTTTTTTGGTCCGATGTGGACTTTGTTAAATGATGATTATCCTAATTGATTTTTTGATAATTAACTAGTGGAACCACTACCTGCAAATTAATTTGTCCGCTTTTTAATCTATTGTTG